CAGTGGTGCAGAAACCTCACATTTGTGATATAGCAGGGAAAACAGAATGCACTGAAGGGAGGAATCCCAGGAACATGAGTTTTCTTGCTGAGATCTGTAAAGGTTAATATTTCCAGTTACAACTTTCCACTAATGGATTTGGGATCCTACACAAGATTTTCCAACAGGTCTTTTTGTGATAATAAGCTCAAAGTCAGTGATTAAAGCCTTGGGATACATGCAGGTATTGCTAGTAATGAATACTGCTCAGTGGAGAGAAATATTCTGTAGAATTCACATGTGAATTTTACAAAAAGGAGTAAAAGTCTAACACAGGAGGCTGAGAAATGAACAGAGGGCGATGAATGACACTCATGTTTTTCACTGGGAGCTGCTTGGCAGTGTTTTCATTTTGCTTGCATGGAGTTTTGGAGTCTGTCTCATAGCATGTGGCATATTAGGCACAATAAAGATGTTCATTTGGCAGCTGGAGCATGACTAGGAACATCAAAAGAGTCATAGATGCGTCAATAAATGAAGAACTCCACCTTCATATAAATATTAGATCACTGTTTTAATTGCCCATTGAATTCTTGTCAATGAGACATTCACTTGTCATGCCTGGTGCAGCATTACCAACGTTTTATTTTGGGGCTAGAGCTGATCTGTTGCTATTATTCATTTTTTGCACTTTTGTAGCACTCTGAGCACCAAACATGACTCATTTTGTTGCAAGTGCTGTACAGACACAGGGTGAACAAGTGGCCTTTGCTCAGAGGAGTTTAAAATCCAGTTAAACTCCTTAAGCTCTAATAGAGAGTGAATGTGCAGGAGAACATGGGAAATTTTGGGGTGTGTGGCCCTTCTCATCAGGCTGCCACTCACCCAACCTGTTATAATGCACGTGGGTAGTGGGAATAATGTCAATTATCCATCTCAGGGCTTTCCTCACACCTCAGCTCCATGACAAATGCATGAACATCACAAACATCATCACACAGACCATATGTTCCCAGGGCTGCCAAGCAGCAAAGTGTTGGATATTCAGAGAGCACCTTTGCAGCTCAGGCTGACACTTTCCACAGCTGATATCCACAACTTCTCTCTCATTTCTTGCTACACTGGTTGGTACTTGGGGGACAAAAATAATAATTAATTAATCACGTTTTATAGTTAAACATAGAGATTTCTACACTGGCTTTATGTACAAAGCAAGATTTGAGAGAGAATGAAAAGTAAAAATCCTATTTCCCTTGTATTTAACAGGCATTAACAACGTGCAGGTTTGGTTAAGAGATAGCTGTAATGCCATGGATGGGAAATCTGAGGAAGATGATGAAGATGAAAATCCTCAGAGCTCTCCTGAGTGCCTGGTAGGGAAGGTGGTCAGTGCCAGGCCCAGCTCCTTGGGCTGTGTAGCTGCTCCTGGAGCTCGTTACGGGCAGCTCAAGCATAGTAAATTTTGGGTATTTGCACTGGCTCTTCTTCAGAAGCCACCTGAGTTTAAGGAAGGAAATATTCCCAGTGAGGAACATCATGAGGGTGCCTGGGAATGCAATTCACCTCAGGTGATGTTCCCTGGTCAGCCCAGTCCAGCAGACAACCTCATCCTGATAAGGTCCATTTTTGATCCTGAGCTCAGACCAGGGATTTTATCTAAGGCTCCAGACCCCTTCAACTCTCTCAACAATTGGTTTTGGTTTCATCCCTTTTGGCCCTTAGGCCAAATAATCTTCAGTGTTCTCTATCCCTATGATCACTTCATCTCCTCCCACTTCTAATTTCTCTCCTACATATCAGTACTTCTCAGAGCCTTTTCATTTTCTTTCCTTCTTGTTATTAACCTCACCAAATACTCTCTTTTCTGTTTTAGGACTGGGAATTGAAAGCATCAGTGCTTTTGGATGAGATATGGTAAAAAAAAAAAGCCAGTTTCCCACTTTCAAACAATTCTGCCTTAGCCCTTTTTGGAAATAGTTGCAGGGTTTCATAAAGCAAAACAAATAGACAGCAAAACATAAAATGTTTAAAAGTGTCAAATTCATACTTCCAAGGGAATGTAGAATAGATTCAAGTATTTCTCCTGACTCCATGTGCCAAATCTGCATGTGGTCTTTTAATTTCCCTAGAGTATGGGGATGGCAGGATGCAGGAATGCCAGGGTTTGTGGACACTGAGCAGAGGGGTGAGAGTAGTGCACTCCCAGCCAGGTCCTCCCTGCTTTAGAAATGCAACACACCAATGCTAATTTTTTCCAGTTGTAAGCTATTATAGTAAATCAGCAGCAGTTTTTGATTATGAAAAGAACGTATTTATTCAGAGAATCACAGACTGGCTTGGGTTGGAAGTGACCTTAAGGGTCATGCAGCTCCAAACCCTCAGCAGTGGGAAGGGATGCCACCAATACAACAACTTCCTAAAACTTGTTTCATTTTTTTTTTTTAATTGTTTAGTTGGGGTTTGGGTTTTTTAGGGGATTAAAAAATAAGAGACTTGTAATTCACAGAGGCTACAATCTAAGCAGTGTCTGTACAGTGCTTTGTACAGAGAATTTCAACTTCCCACATTTGTAGTGACAGGAGAATGTTGCCTGTTTGTTGGTCAGTAGCTTTGGGAAATTGAAGTGAATCTGTTAAAACACCTGTCATAAACCCAACTTTACCTTCAAAGGGTGGTTTTTCACCATCCAAATCCTGCTGTGGGCACAAGATCCCTCCTGGAATCTGTTCCCAGCCTTGGAGTGTGGGCACCAGCACACTCTCAGAACTCTGAAATTGCTTTAAGCTGCTGCTGCTCCCAAATTCAGTGGTTTTCCCTCCTGGTTCTACTTCAGTACAAGACTTTTCAGGCAGGATCTTCCACATGACAGCCTGAGATAGGTTTGTCTAGAGAGACTGCAGTGTCTGAGGGAAAAGAGTTTTTGTTTATTTTTTTAGTTATAATCCCCCTTGCTTTCAGCAAAATTCAATGAAACAGCAAATGAGCTGATGAAATTCTGGTTTTCTGTCCCACTGTGAATCCAAGGATAGATAGTTCTCTTGCCCTAAAGTGAAGTGGAGGAAATGGGAGCAGATTTTAGTTAAAGACATGTAATTGAGTTTAAACCTCGTGCAGCAGTAGATCCTTTGGCTGCTGGGGGAGTTTTTCTGCCAGAGACGATGGTGTTTGTCAGAGTGGACTCTCCTGGGGAGGAGGATTGTGTGCTGTGGATTCACAGGGTCACGGCTTCATGGGGCGGTTTTCATTTTCTCTTGTTTTTCAGCATCCACGTCTATTTTAATTGGCAATTAAATTAATTTTCCCCAAGTCATTTCTGTTTGGCCAGTGATGGTAATTAGTAAGAGACCTCCCTGTCTTTATCCTTTCCCTGTTTCTCTGCAGTTCTGCTGAGGTGGGGGAGTGAGAGGGTGGCTGGGTGGGAGGTTGGGAGCTGCCCAAGGCCAACTCTTCAATTTTGCTTTGGTAAATAGTGCCCCACATCTCTTTTTGTGCCTTATTCTGTTTGAATGTTCGAGATTTCGGAATAGTTTAATTTTTAATCCAACCCATATCATCAATATTCATCACAAAATGAAGTTGTAAATTCTGGGACCAACGATGGTTCTTTTTCCCTGTGGTGTTTTGCTTTGGGGTCAAATCCCAGTGAATGCTCAGAAAAGAAGCATCTCCACAAAGTCACAAAGTCCTCTGGCAGCCCTGTCTTCATGTTGGTCTGCCTGGGAGAGACACAAAATTTGATGAAGAGGATTTCTGTGTAATTTCCCCGGAGTGTTGAGTGGCCACCCACTATGAGACTGTTCCTGTGTTTAGGCCCAGTTATAGAGATCACACAGTCAGGAAGAGTTTAGGGATTAGTCATGAGACACTCTGGGATTGTTTCTCTTCCTTGAAAAATAATGACCCAATACAAGAAGTCTATACAGAGAATTTAAACAATTATGTCAAGTGTTTTATTTTGTAGTAAAACTCCATTGTTGTTGATTTTATGTAGCTGGCATCACTGTCTGTAGTTTTTTTTTCTGAAATTGTAATGTAGTTTTTAAAGATCCAGTGGAAGTGAAATGTGAAATAAAAATAGTGAGAGCATACAGGCAAGTAAAAAATCTGCAGCAGCAGTAACTCAAGGAGAAGGTGGGGAATACTGAACAGGTTATCTGCATAAAAACCTTTCACATGCAAGTACATTGTTCAGAGATATCAAAACCTGAAAAGCTCATTTAGCAATTGCAAGTTTGTGGTGAAGATCTCTTACTTGAAGATCTCTTACTCATATATCAGGTAGTTAAATCACTAATATTTTATCCAGTATTTTGTGCAAAATGACTCAGAAGAAATTTGAGACAAAGTCTCAAATCTTTGTGCTTTAGGGACATTTTCCTCTTTATGCCAGCATTCCTGAATATTTTAAACTTTCCATGTAAAGTGAAAAGGGATTATTGACAGTTACTGTTCAATTAAAAGTTCTCACAATCCTAAGATACAGTGCAGCTCATGAACTGTTTGACAATCCTGGTAATAAGAAATGTTACAGTTCGGTTTTTCAGTTTCATAAAACTTTTGCAGTAGCCTGGGGGTGAATATTCTGTAAACAACCAGTGCTGAGCCTAAAGATATACTGAATATCTGAAAGCACTTTGCCACAGAAGAGCCTTTTGAGATCCTGGGCTGTGATGAGGAGCACAACAAGGTCTCTATTGCCACTGCTCTGTTTGTGGAACTGGGTGTGCATTTGATTGGAGTGATCACAAAAGGCTCATGTCCAAAGTGTTTTGTTTATCTGCTACTCAGTTCGACTGGTCAAAGCCTCTTCATCTTTCTGAAAGTACATATTCATAGATTTATTTATGAAGAAAAGGCAAAAAATATAGAATTTCTTTGAATGTTTTTTTTTTCCTTTGAGAGACATTTCTTCCCAAATCTGTAGACAAGTTAATAACATAAAGATATCTGAAGCTTCTGTTCAAAATGGATAATTATAATGCGTTTTTTCCTTTTTTTTCCTTTTTTTTTTTCACCCCCAGTGAAATTTGATGACTGCCAGGGGAACAACAAATTGAACTTTGAAGTTTCTAACCCAGACTTTACAGTGGAACTTGATGGGAATTTGGTTGCACTCAAGAATGTATCAGAAGTTGGCAGAGCCTTGTTCGTCCACGCGCGGTCGGAGCACGCCGAGGACATGGCAGAAATCTTTATTCTTGAAGCAAATGAGAAACGTGGTGCATTAAAGGTAAGATAAATACCAAAGATTAAAAAAAATAAAAAAGGGCCAAGGAGATGCTGCTGCTAAATATTTACATGTGTCACCTAGGATTGTAGGCAATTTTAATCTGTTAGCAGAGATCAAAATCAGTCTTCAATGCAGATATTGCGGTAACATTTTAACGTTTGGTGTAATTTGTGATGCAGATTTCCCGGGTTTTGGAAGATGTATTACATCTTTAGGTGTGGATGTTAAACATTCATAAAGACTTTATTCAAATGAAAAAGCCCAAGTATTAAAATTGGCTGCTTCTTCCAGTGCATGTTATGCCAGGTAATCACAGTTTGGCCACAAGTGAAAACAGAAAATCATAGTTTAAATATGTAATTTAGAATTTACAGAACCTTCGTGTTTTGCTCCAAGTCTAAGGATGTGGGAATGAATTCTGTGTAATTTAAATTTTCATGTTGGTCTGCTTATCTGACATTGTTATGTGGTAAACTGCTTAAGCATCTGCACACAAACAATGCCATGAATTTACACGTGTCTCTACACCCTGGTGATTTTTGTTCTGCTCTGTCCACTGAGTGTCTTGTCCTTTCTTTCCCCATCCTGAATTTCAGTGTATTACAAACGTCATCCTTTGGGGGATAAAGCACTTCAGAAATTGATTGAATTATTTACTTCACACCCCTGCAAGTAACAAAAGATGTGAGATAGCCTTCACTTCTGTGACCTGGCATTTAGGAGCGAGGCAGGCAAGGTAGTGGCTCACTAGACAATTAAGTCTGGTACATTTACAGACCTATAATTTCACAGAGGTATAAAGAAACTTTGATAAAAATGACTGAACTACTCTCCTGATTTGGTATTTAGACATTCAATTACCGGCATTCTCATTATATTCCCAACAATATATTAGTACAACTTAAGTCTTCCATTATAAAAACAAATTATCTTGAGGAGAAAGGTTGAACAAACTTCTGAAAGTCCATGGCTGAGGAAAGGTTTTGCTCTGCACTTTAAACAGCACACGATGTGAATATGGATTGCCAGCGGGAGAGAAAGAACCACAATGGGTAACTGCAGAAAGCTGATCAGAGCACTGAAATGGAATTTAATTTTATTTAAATATGCCGTTTCTTCACAAAATTAAATTTTAACACATACTTGAGGGAGTCTCTTACGTGGAGGAGCTGTGAGTTTAGGACCACAGACTGCCAAATTCAGTGTAGGAAAGCTACACTTGCAGGAGCAAGCCGGGCACTTGGCTGTCCTGTGCCTCAGACTAGCAAGTCTTGCTCCTTCTGGTACATTCACAAGAATGTTAAAATGATTTTATTTTGAAATCTTAGGAGCAGTTTCAAAATGGGGATCATCATTCTCTGGTTAGAAGTGACTAAAACCACCGAGGTGTTTGAAACGTCTCTGACAGGAGGTCTGGAGTTAAACTTCAAGGGATTGGTTTATGTGTGAAGATCTGACTCTCTGAGAATCACATTCTGAAGATTTATTCTGGTTTTCTTAGAGAAGCAGCCCTTCAGTATCTGTGAGGGGAGATTTTCTATGGAAGCTACAATGTAAGGGAAATACTGTCAGATATTCTATGGAAGCTACAATCTGGGGGAAGCCTTGTCTCATGAGCAGGAGTTCCAGGATGTGTATTTGCACAGACCATGACAAGCTCTGCCAGTGACCTTTTCTCTTTAAGTCCTGTTTGGGTTCTGGGGAGTCTCCCCTCAGAAGGTTCCAGCAATATTAATTGATGTCTAGTGCTGAAATCTCTCTCCAGACTACGTTTGAAAGCCAGGGCTGGTTTGGCCCCACTCCTGGATTCTGTTCCAACCACTTTGTGTTGCTTCAGAGGGAGAAAAGCAGTCTAAATCAGGCACATTCTGCCACTTGCCAGCCTTTCCTCACAGGTGACAATATCACATCATCTCAACCTGCATTTATCACCTCTCTCTGGATTTTGATATTGTGCCCATAACCAGACGATTACACATTTAATGTGGTATTCAGTGCCTGCAATGCCAATGTGAGTTACATGATGCCTTAATGTGTCCTGGGAAATCCTTCTAGTGAGAATCATGCCCTCTTCAAGGGAATATAAAAATCTCTGGGGCTGGCTGTCCTGCTCTGGCCTCACCCAGTCCCCTGTAACTGTTAAACCAGTATTTCTTCCCAACCTTTCCAACTATTTGCCTATTTTAAACACCACACAGACAGTGTTGTCTTTCTGTTTGTCATACTTGAGAAGGATATAAAGACTACAGTGTCCTATCTAAAGTGATTTTATGATAAATTTGAACTTAATCCTGTACTTTTGCAGTCTAAATGTGTCAGCACGGAAGCAGCAGAACTGCTCCATCTGTTTATGCAGGGAGCCTTGGCTAAGAAATGCTCAGATGGAACCTTGGTAATTCAGCATAATTCTGTGGGGTTAAGATGAGCACATGCTGGAGCAGTGCTTAGCATTCAGTACTTAGAGAACAGTACCTTGTCTAATTAGAGGATAAGTAGTTCTTAAGTATTTCCCCACTGCCAGCAACTGCCATTTCTTTTCTGAAAGCATGTAACCTACATCTGTGAAATCCCATTGTTAATGTTGCTAATTGCAGATTCCCAACATGTTTGGGAATGGCTCTCAACAATGATCTCTGATGTGCTGACGGATCTTAGGAACAGAGTGTAGCTCCTAAAACTTTCTGATTGCTACCAACCATACTTTGGCTGAATATGGAAATTATTTAGAGGTGCAATCTGGAGTGTGCAGAAAAGCTTTTGGTATTCTGCTGGTGAAGGGGTGCAGCTCTTTCCTGCTAAAGATGGGGGATGATTCCAGCTGGCCTCAGCGATCCGTCCTATGTGATTAACTAAATTAACTTCATGGCCAGAGTATAATCAGTGGCTGTTGGAATATCACTTACTATTTAACTGCTATTTGCATCTGAAGGGCCTGTTTTCCTCCTCTTCTATTCAGAAGCATAATAGATCTGCAGAGCCTGCAGCTTTCCATCCCGGGGTGGCCATGGCAATAATATGGGCAGAGGTGGTTCCTCAATCAGGAGCCAGCTTGGCTGTGGCTCCCTGATCACACAATCCTGCAGGAGCAGATACTGCATTGCTGCTTTTCCTCATGTCTGCATGTCTAACATGCCCTAAACCCTGTGAATCTCTACCTACACATATTGATACATGCAGAAATCTGTCCATCAGATTCCACATCAGATTCCAGATCAGACTCCAGCTGGAATTGCTTTCTGCAGCCAGCTGGATGTGCCTCCTCCCTCCCATCATTTTGGATAGATGTACTGGTCTGAGTCTGTCTTGACAGAGGGAAACATCCCCAAAAATCTTCTATCGTTTTTGAGAGGCTTTTGAGTGTGAGTGCACAGAAAAGCCTGTGGAAAGTATTAATAGTTAACTCTTTAATAGTTATGTGCCTGTGCACACTTGGAGCCTGATGCAATCAGTGCTCAGTGAAAGAGGAATGGCACATGCATTCCCCATGGAGCAGTGCTGGTGAGCAATGGAACATTCCCCATGGAGCAGTGTTGGGATGTGCCTTGCTCTGCCTGTGCCCTGCTTTGCCCAGGGTTTGCTTGATGCCCTCTCACAGTCAGGACTGGAGTATTTGAGGATATCAAGAAAAAAAGAGACCTGGAAATGTTTTGATTTACCCAGGATTCCCCAAATGAACTTTGGATTCATTCTGAATAATTCAGAGAATTGCTAAGCCTCAAATCCCTAATGGAAAAATAAATCACTCTCAGAAACCCTAGTTGGGGAGAAAATGGCTGAGCCAATAACTGCCAGCATTCTCTTTTTTTTAAAAACTTGTGTCGTGTCCAATGTTGGATCCCTGATGTTTTATGGAGAAAGTAGGACAACTGAAAGTTGGAAATTTCATCTCATGTGAACACTTGTCAAGATATTAGTGGATTTATGTATTTATTGAAAGAGTCAGGTTTTGTGGAAGAGTGTAGCCAGGTTTTTGTAGAGCCTCATAATAAATGGTCAGTTGCAAAAGGTGGCAAGCTGGGACTTGAACTGTGTCCTTCAAGGCTAAATAAAATGGTGTCTGCTGGTCCTGCTCCCCCTCTGAAATCTAATGCTGGTTTTAATGAACATACCCTCAGTACACTGGGAGCTAAAAGTAAACCTTGGGACACAATCTGTCTCTGCCTCTCTGTGTTGGCAGCCTTTATTTTTTTTTTTCCTTCCCCACAGCAAAGGCAGTTATTTAGAACTTTTATTTGTTACACCATTACAGACACAGGCTGAGGGGTGGAGGGGAGTGAGATATCAAGAGTCTGGCACCAAAGCAGATAAGAGGGCAGGCAGATATTCAGAAATTCCAGGCTGGTAGTAACTTCACTGCATGGTGCTCAGCAGTCTTCCATACAGAAGGATGAAATGATTAAATAGAAGCTGTCAAACCCTCAGGACACATTTCAGGCACTAGATAGAAAAGGAACAGGAGAAAGAAAAGAAGAGATAAGAGTGAGGAGCACACCCTGAGACAGCATGTTGTAGGCAAAGTTTAAAGCCATCTCCAGCAGCAGCTCAGACTGAAGGAAATGAAGTTGCCCCAGTCCTGCTACTTTGTCCACTGCACTTTGTATCAGCCAGGGGCTGGGCAGAAACTGCTGCTGCTTTTTTTCCCTTTGCCAAACCACTGCTTTTCCCAACACCCAGCACTCAGCTGTGTTTGTTACAGCAGAGACAGAGCCTCAGCAGCCTGGCTGAAAACTTCCTTGAAGAGCTGAATTCTCATTCCTACCAAGCCTCTCTGCCTGCATGGATACCTTTTGTGCCAGTTGCTTTCTGCCTGTGCATGTTTCCTAAAGTATCAAAAGAAATAATGAAACTAAGCTCCTTGGATTTAAACCTTAGCATTTCTTGTTTGTGTCTTGCTCTCTGCTCATCCCCACAGGATAGAGATTGCAAATATTATGGATATGAGATAAAAAGTGCCTAGAGCCTTAAATCCTACATGTATGGTTTTCTGCCTTAGAACAGAT